TATGTTTATATTTAAATGATAAAATATATACATTGGTTCAAGAATCTCGAATTCAAAACTACAAAACCTTTACATCTTTCATAAATTTTTTATTTAAATAAATAAGATAATCTTTTTTCTATATATGTTACGAATGCTTAAAATCCTATTTTTTGGAGGAGTTCTAACTTTTCGAAGAAAAACATTATAACCACATTTGTATATAAACCAAAATCTGGCCACATTATAACCATTTCGTAAATAATCCATTAATAATATAAGAATTTTAGATTTGGAACACTACAAAATTTTAGCTTGGAAACCATCAAATCTCATCTTTGCTAAATTTTAGATTTCTTATACTTATTAAAAAAAAAATTTTTTTTTATACTACAAAATCTTGAAATCTTTTAAAACATACGGAAAGACATATTACCATAATTAGTAACAGTTCGTCAATATTTTTTTATCACGTTGAACCTTTACTCAAAGTTCAATATTTCACGGATAAAACATATTCTTATATGAAATAGTCCCAAATTTGAATAATACTAAAAAAAAATTGTAACATGTTTCGTTTTATACAAACGGATCTTGGATCCGAATAATAATTTTAATCATAATAATTTTACTTGAATCACTGTAAATCGAGAAGAAGTGAAGTTAGATTAGGTTAAAAGTTATCAAGTGAGACTATTCTTTGTTCTCGATTCGTTCGATAGAGTTGGAGAAGTCGGCAATTGCGTCTCCGTCGTCGTCGTTCTGTAACATAGCGAAAATCTACTGTTTCGGATTCATGGCTTATGTGAGTCAATCGAAATCTCTTTCTCTTTTCTTCATTGATAATCGAAGTGATGATAAATCTCTAACCATTGTGGTATGTTTTGTTACTTAACCTTCCTTATTGACTTCACTTTACTTGATTCTTGCTTCTGGATGTTGTTGTACTACTGACTTTGAAGACATTGTTGGGAAATTATTGAGCTCGATTAAGCTTATTGCAATTCATGGGTTTTTTTTTAATCCGTAGCAATGTTTAGTGCTATTGGTTGCTACACGACATTATTAGTTGTTTAGTTTGTCTGGTTCAATGGCGAATTGATTACTTTAATACCTATTTTATGGTTTATTATATTTTCTCAGATGATTGCTGGATTTGATTTCTCTATTCAATGTTCTGTCTGGTTTATGTTTGTTTGTTTGTGTTTTTCTTAATAAACTCCAACTCCAACTCTTTTGTTTCGTCTAAGTGTTCTGTTTTCAAGCAGAGTTTTGATTTTGCTTTGTGATCATTGAAATTGAAAACATTTATCCTGGATCCGATTGTCAATGTCTTTCATTGTCGTTATTCTCTAAATTTGTTCCTTTCAGGTGAGCCAGCTTCTCATTCATTCATTCATTCACATCTTGTGTTTTGGACCTTTTGTTACTTAAGTCATTCATTGTCGAGTCTTTACCTTTGTTTGTTTCGGCTTCACAAAACTGATTAACTTACTAGTTTCATGTGGAAAACTGTTTTCTTGTTGCCACCTATTTTACAGCTTTTTGTGTTAAAACTACAAGTATTTATCTTCGGTGTCTGATTGCAGAGAAGGGCTTAGCACTAGAAATGCTTCAGGTTCAGAGGAAATCCAGCTGAGGATTGATCCTATGCACTCTGACCTTGATGATGAGATCATAGGTCTCCATGGCCAGGTCAGGCAATTGAAAAATGTAAGAAACCCTCAAAATCCCATTTCTATCTTTCTACTTTTTATTTCGAGTACCAAATGTATTGTTTGCTTATGGTTCTCTTTGAGCTTTAAGTTGATCATATGAATTTGAAAATTCCTTTTTTGGTTTTGAAAGTGGTTAGAACTTGGTTAATTAGTTGTGTAGGTGTTTTTTGGTTCAGGGTACTATGATAATGTTCTTGTTTGCTCTGCTTATCAGTCAGTCTGCGATTATTAGTTGAATCAACTTGTGTGATGTCTTGAAGGAATCAGTCGACATTCTCTACAATTCCTTGTGTTTTACCTTGCACTTTTGCACATAATTTATCACTCATGATTTTTGTTATTTCGTTGATCGCTTATGCAGATTGCGCTTATTCTTTCTTTATCCATCATCGTAGAGTGCAATGTAAGCACTTCATATCGGCAACATGCGTTTACTCTTCTTTGCCTTGTAGATGAATCACTGATTAAATATAGTATGTCCGAATATGGGTTTCCTTTAACTTGTTTCAAATGGCTCTGTTCATTAGTTGGGAACATTTAGATCAATTCCACCGTAGCTTACAAACCAAAGAATCTTGATTAATCCTCAGTTTAGATATGTTCACAGTTATTCTCAGGGTCTGGTCTGAACTCTGGTGGGTAGGAATAGATATCTTCAATCTTGGCTTAGTTAGGTAAAATGCAGCAGGAAATGGTTTCAGCTTATCAAGGTGAGTTTGTGTCATCAATAGCTTTTTAGTTATTTGGATTAGGTAATTAAACAGATATAAAAATGATGATTGTACAACACCACAAAGTCACGGAAAATTATGTAGCTGCTTGTCCTAGAAAACAAGCACTGCCCTGGGATGATAAGTTATGTCTGGAATGACATATTGAACAATGATTCTGGTCTATAGTTAGATAGATAAACCACCGGGAGCTTGCCTTCAGGAAACTTTGCTTGATTGCATTAGTTTTTTTTGTTCTCTGTATTAAAGCAAGATTTCTGATTGAAATGTGACTGATGCTTCCATATTTTGTATTCAGAACTTGTTCAAAGGTAAAGATGATCAGCTCTCCGTAATCTGGAAGACTTGCGGCTGGTGCTTGTGCTGTCATGACATCTACTTCGGTAACTAACTGTGGTTTGATATATTAAGTGCTTGCTAAATTTGTTTATCCGTTTTTCGGGGGTTTATTCATATGTCGGCGTAAATTAACTGTCCAGTTTAAGGTTAACAAATTCTTAAGATTACCTATCTATTTGTAGAACCTACTTCTTTCCTCCAATTGTTTCCATCGCAAGTCTGCATCTTTATGATGGCTATACTGATGTATGTCTGTAAAATAGGCATAAAATCATCGCTGCCTACTTGAAAACTAAATTCTTATATATATATATATATATATATATATGTATATTTTGAAGTGTAGTTGTTTTATGTTGTTTACCTTCTGTTTGAGTGTTAATTAAAGTTACTTCAGTTTAATTTCGGCTTTCAAGTAAAACTTGGTTAAAGTATGTACTACTCCAAGTGTATAGATATGTGACTTTATCATTCTGATTCTTGCATTTGGGATTCTTATGCACTTGACATACCCTCTATATGTTTTGAGATTGAGGTTGGCTGTCGAACCTGGGTATCCAACAATGTCTCAGGTGAAATGGTTTTTCACTATATCATTCCTGTTCATGCATTTATTGATAGGCATTGTGCAATGCAAACTCTTTCAGGTTGCTTTGAGTATGCTCCGTGATGAAGGAATCACATCTTTCTATTACGGTTCTAGGACCTTCTCTAGTGGGGATAGCTCCATACATTGCTGTAAACTTTTGTATTTTCGATCTGTGAATCTTCCAAACTTTCTTTCTATCTCTTTAAGTACCTATACGGAAACAAAAAACTTAGAACCGGGCTTAATATCGTTTTGGCAACAGGGTGAAGAAGTCTTGACCGGAGGAATATAGACCGAAGGCACAATCGTCTCTATTAACAGCTGTTCTTTCGGCTGGTATCGCGACACTGACATGTTACCCTCTACAAACTGTGAGACGGCAAATGCAAATGAGAGGAACTCCATACAAATCAATTCCGGAAGCATTTGCTCGTAAGTTAATATATTTCATCATGCAACTCATTAGAGCAAGATCATCATCCAAATCTGATTTGGTCAACTTACAATTCATGTTGTGTATTGAGCAAAACACTTGGGATTGGAACTTAGTCATCTTTACTCTGGCTATGCAGGAATTATAGACCGTGATGGTCTTATAGGCTTGTACCGCGGCTTTTTACCCAATGCATTGAAGACTCTACCAAAGAGCAGGTTAGACTCTTGCCAAACATATATAGAAATACCATTCTCCCCATGCCATTATATGTTACTTAAGGTGTAGATGTATCTGATACAAAACCAAGCTCAAACTGTTTGCTATGCGAATTGGATCATATACTTTTTGTTTTTTTTGTTTTTGGAAGTATCAGTTTGATGATATGATAATATCTCAAAAATCTGCATGCTCTTTATATATGATTAGTATATGCAAAACACAATTATGAACATGTCTTTCGAATTTACCACAATCTTGAAACTTTAGATTATTTAGGTCTTTAACTTGAAACTTTTGAGTATTATTCTAATCTAATCGTTAAAGTTGTGGTCTTAGGAATCTCACATTGCCAATAAGAACAAGCCTACTATATATCAACTGCTGTTTATGTTTGTTTTGCAGTATTAGGCTTACAACCTTGGACATGGTAAAAGGCCTTATCGCCACAAGTGAGAAGCAGTTTCAAAAGATCAACGATGATAATGGGAATCGAGAACAAGCTCAATGACCACATATTTGGTCTGTCTCCAAGTTTTACCTATACACATGAGAGTTCAAGTTTGTGCTATGGATGATCTTCCATATTTCACACTAAGCTAGACAACAGTTCTCAACCCGAAGATGAAGAGAGTCCCCGAGAGTGATGACGAGGAGAAGAAGGAAACAGTTTCGTGCAATGGCTAACTAACTCTGTGCAAGTGGAGATACTTGCTTGCCTGTAAGTAATAAAGCTTAGTGTTACTTTTTGACGTTCTTGGTTTGGTAGTTGCATATATGTTGTAACATATTTGAACAACTGGTGGAAGTGTTTTATTGTGAATGTGTAGTATTTATTTATTAGTACTGTCTTTGATTTGTAAATGCTAGCATGTTACAAAACCAGTTTAATGATCAGTAAAGTCTTACAATTACACATTTGTGCTGTACCATTTCATACAGTTTTTTTGTGCAAGCGTTGGATAACAAGGAAGTTTTGGAATGACCCCGAATACAAAGAAATATTAGATGAGGATTTCTATCCATAAGAGTAATGAAGCAAACATGATTATATGCAAACAAATCAGAAATCAACAACAACAAGAAGAGGGGAACGTAAGAGATAAAGAGGTTAGATAGAAATCGGAGGAAGCCAGTAAGGGAGGAAGGCAAACTCAACCTCTTCTGGTTTTGGTGGCCATTCAACTTGGTCTTCGAAATGACGGATACTTCTGGTGGTGAGATCGTAAACACCAAAGATAGATTCCATTAGATAGATGGAGTTTGGGACAAGACCAGGGCACAAGCTAGCCTCGACGCAGAAAGGGTCAGTCCCTGAGATGAAGATGCACACATCTCCAATGTCCTCTGTGTAACACATGATGGTGCCTTTCTCGGTCGTCTCTTCCTCTCTAAAGACCATGAACACAGGGACTCTGTCCAGAAACTGGGAGAAGTATGAGTAGCATTTGACTAGGAAGCGTTCGCCTGAGGGAGACTCCACCCAGTGTTCTGCCTTGGAACAGGAACTCAAGAGCTCGTGCTCGCGCTGTGACAACTTGGGACGGTTGTGATACAGGAACTTATGGAACTTAGGGTTGTGGTCTTTCTTAAATTGGAGATCCAGAGAGCACAAGTGGTTGCTTCCAGGAGCGGGCAAGTAGAACTTATGGTCTCTCTTGGAATACATGAGATTTGAGTTTTCCAAGAAGGTAAAAGGAGTTAGGATGTTAGTCCAACGCAAGTCACGATTGGGTCTACAGAGGCTAAGCTGTCTGCCCAAGAACTTGAGAGCAACTACCCAATCTTCATGATCACAAGGAGAAGAGGACATTGCCACGTTGCACAAGACTTGGGTTTGGCAAGTGTAGAGAGAAGTAAGCGGAGGCAGAGAAATCACCTTGGGGTTTGATGTGGAAGACAGTGGGTTCAGGTAGTCGGAGATGCATAAGGAACGGTCGCACAAGTTAGAGAAAAATCCCCATCCATGAGAAGTTCCGATGAGCCTGGAATCAGAGAGCTCTTGGGGAAGTCTTGTGTCGGGGATATTGAGTAACTCTTCCTTTGCCGCATCGAACATGATAACATCCGGTAAATCTTCATTAACCGTACTGCCAAGCCTCAAAAATGGGCCGGAACATGAAAACGAACGAAACCCCCCCCTTGTGGATCTACCAACACAGAGATCAAGTAAATCTTCCCATCCAATTCAAATTTGCTTTAAACAGAACAAAACCAAGAAAAAAAAAAAAACAGGAGAAGCTTACGAGGGGAGAGGGCGGCTTGGAGAGTCCGATGAGAAACCGATACATTGTTAAAGAAGCTTTTCAAACACAAGAGTCTGTTGATGATTTTGAAACCGATATATTGGATTTTAAGCAAGATTACAACTTTATTCCAACTACTTTATTTTCGACAAACCAAACCAATTCCACAACAAATAAAGAGAAAATTGTTTTGCAATTACAAACATACTAATGATCAACTCGCTCTAGGATCCATCCCTTGCTGCCAAACATAAACAAGCTCATCCCAACCAGTGCTCGCCATTAAACCTTCAACAAGAACACTCATATCGATCCCAACTGCAAACTCTGTATGATGATCATACCTACCAACCAAAGCATCTTCCACCATATAATCCCAAAGACAAACAGTCATATCGTAAGAGCAAGAAGCTATCAAACTCCTCCTATGCGGCGAGAATTTCACCTTTCTCACCGCATATCCGTGACCATTAAGCACAGCCAAAGGAACTCTATAACTCCTAACATCCCATACCTTAACCGTTTTGTCCACTGAAGAAGTAGCTAAAATACAATCATCATACTTATTCCAATCACAAGACAAAATCTCATATTCATGACCAGGGATGATCATAGTTGATCCAGGTTCTCTAACATCCCAAATCCTCACAGTACAATCTCCGGAAGCAGAAGCAAACACATCACCATGTTTAGGATTCCAAACTGCTTGATAGACGCAATAAACATGTTCCTTAAAAGTCCTAACACTCGCCGGACGATCCATAGCCCAAAGCTTCACCGTATCATCCCACGAAGAAGTGAGAAACGAATCACGGCGCGTGGGATTGTAATCCAAGGATTGAACCTCACGCGCGTGCTCTTGGAATGATCTAATCGGATTAGAAGGAGGAGGAAGAGCTGTGTCGTAAATCTTCACTGAGCCGTCACCAATTGCGGCGATGAGTACAGAGTCATGAGATTCCGACCAACAAACGTCGTATACAGCGTCAGCTGTATCGTACGCGACGGATTCGGTTACTCCGGGAGCTCCAGGAGCGAGCTCGAGTACATGGATTCGGCCGTTTCCGAGAATTCCGAAGTTCTGAGCTGTTGCGACGGCGAGGCGTGACTCGTAGAATGGACTGAATTTCACAGAGTAGCCATTGAACGGAGCTTTGAACACCGGCATAGCTTCTTCTTCTCCGGTGAGTGATTGAATCAATGGAAGAGTTTTTGAGTCTTCTCGAAGATTCAATTCGACGATCTGATCGGATAACGCCGATTTTGCTCATCGCAGAATTAATTTTTTTTTTTTTTCCAATTATTTTAATCGGGCCTATTGGGCCGGAACATGGCCCATTTTCGAGGTTGTGAAACGGTGTCGTTTGGGATTTCAAGTTAGGGTTTTTTGGGGGTTTGGTTCTTCTTACGAAGAAGCTCCATCGTCTCTTTCTCTTCAATTTCATTCGTTTCTGAGATAAAGTTGAGAGAGAAATCTAAATTCGAGAAGAGAAGTTTTGAGTTTTCGAGTTAGATTCAATGGAAGAGATCACGGAAGGAGTTAACAACATGAACTTGGCCGTCGATACCCAGAAGAAGAATCGGATTCAAGTTTCCAACACTAAGAAACCATTGTTCTTCTACGTCAATCTCGCCAAGGTAACAAAACCCTTTAAACCGAATCTTAATAAATTCGTCTTTAGATTGAAATCGATGGATTCGAAGTCTGAAGTCTGGAAATTTCTGTGATTGGTCATGTGTGTTAATTTATCTGCTATAGACTTTGATGAGTTATTACTGATGGCTCTGTGTTGTTGTTTATGTGACTCTTTATCAATGTTTGTGCCTTAGATTTATGAACTTTGTTTTTGCCCTTTAGATTTGTTAATGTTATTGACTCTCTGTTTGTTTGCTTTTCACAGAGGTACATGCAGCAGTACACTGATGTCGAATTGTCTGCACTAGGAATGGGTAATGTTCTCTTTATGATCTATATTCGAAATCTAATGTTTTGTTTAAGCAATCTCTAATTAATTGAGAAACATAACTGAGTTCATTTAAGGTTCAAAGTTTCTAGAAAAGCTGTTTCCTTTTTTTGTCATGAGATAGAATCTTTTATCTTCTCTATGACTTTGTTTTAACCCTTATCTTATTATAGCTTTCTTTATTGGAAGAGATTATTCTGGTTTCTCATAAAACATTTGATTTGTGCATTGTGCAGCCATTGCTACTGTTGTTACGGTCGCTGAGATATTGAAGAACAATGGCTTTGCTGTTGAAAAGAGTAAGATCTTCTTAGTCCTGAATGAGCTAATGTTTTGGAAGATTCAATGACTTAAGTTTTACTTATTTGGAACTTGTTTAATCCTGTAGAGATCATGACCTCGACTGTGGATATCAAGGATGATTCAAGGGGTCGTCCTGTGCAGAAAGCCAAGGTATATTTTCGAATCATTCGATAAATTGATTAGGCTGTGGAATTCTTAGCTCCAATCTATGATTTTTGTTCTGAGAATTTGCTATGTTGTTTGCTAATTTTGTGGGTTTTTGACTTGTAGATTGAGATCACGCTTGCCAAGTCTGAGAAGTTTGATGAATTAATGGCTGCAGCCAATGAAGAAAAGGAGGCTGCAGAAGCCCAAGAGCAAAACTAGATTGTTTCAAGTTTTTCTGTTCAACGATCTTATTTCTTCGTTCCCCATCTCTCTGCTTAATTTTAAGACACTTTTATTTGTTCTATTTCCTTAATTTTTGGTTCACTTTTTGATGTCACCTTGGATTGTGTCCTCTCTACCTCTGAACAATTTTATTTAAAGATCGTAGGAAGTATAAAAGATGGCTTCGTTGCATAGGCGTTTTTAAATATAAAATCAGCCTCAAACCCATATACAGAGTAAAGTTATAGAAAAAGGATTGTGATGCATTTGTAAACGATGTGGGATATGGCTTATGGATGACAAACTACAATCTATTGGGATATTAGAACAAATGTAAGCCACATGATCAACATGTTTTGATTCTTATGTGACATCATGGGTTGTGTGGCTATTACTTAAACTTTTTTTAATCAGTTCTTTTAGTTAAACACTAAAAAAGTAACCATACTAGAAGAAGAAAAAAAAGTTTAGTTGAATAGGATTTGACAAAATAAAAGTTGTCAATTAAAAAACAAAAATAAGTTGTCAATTTTTTTCAACTTCTTAATTTTCATTTGTTAATTGCAGCATAGTATGGGATTCCATTGCATGATGATAATAGCTTTTCACTTTTACTGTTTTAATTATTATGTCTGAACAATTAGTCAAGGCTAAATGATTTTTGAGTGATTGGGTTGTATGATAATGGGAAAAAATGAAATTAAGAGGATGATAAATAGATAAAGGGAGAGAAGAGTGACATGCTAGTTATCTAAACAAATTAAATGAATGGAAAATCTTTCTCTTAATTTCTTTTTTGTCCACCATCATATAATCCAATTACTCAATAATTAGTTCTTCCAAGAATCAAATAATCATTCTCTCCCTTAATATTCATGTCCTCTAACAAAACTATTTTTGTGCTGGAATTTGACCACCACAAATTTTTAACCATCACCGTTCAACACCACCTTGTCGGCTGATGCGAACGTGTTAACCATTATTATAACACCATGTAAAAAATCTAGTTTCACGTTAAGTAAATTGATTTATAAACAACTAAACATAAATGTAGTACATTCAAATAATTTTTGTCGATCTAAAGCGTTATTTATCTTAAACTCATCATTGTCCGGAAAACATAATGAATCACACCCAACATTTTGTTCTTTATTTTCGCAAGAATCAAGATTCAAGAGTCGAGAGTCGAGACTAACCTCTCGTGAAAAAGTTATTACTCAAACATGTTGTACATATTTTTATCGATGATAAGATATAGCGTGTAAAACAAATTACCAACGTGCATGATTATGTTAGAAGGGTAAGTGAAAAAAAAAAAAAAAAGAGGAAAAAATAGTTACTAAATTTCTAAAAGCTAAATTCATATCCTTGTCTAGTGATTTTTTTTTTTCCGAATTTCATTGATTAAACGCGGTAGAGTTATACAGAACCGACAAAGAATGAAATCATGTCAGAGACAACACCGGCGGATACATAAAAACTCGAGAGAGACTTTTTTTTTTTTTTTTTGTCAATCAACTGAAATTCATTAAACCGGAATCGGTACAGTTACAGATGCTGGTACAATAAATGCAGAATTTAAGGCAGATTTTGCAAGTGCATCTGCACAACCGTTTTTCTCCCTAGAAACAAAAGAGAAGGAAATTTCGTCGAAATCTGAAGATAGAGCAAGGATATCTTGAAGAATCCCATAGAGTTCCTTTGGGGAGGACTCTGAATTAAGAGCTTTGATCAGCAATTGCGAATCTGAAGCAAACATACGGGGGAAAGCTCTTAAAAGATATACTAATGAGAGAACATGCAAGGATTCCAAAACAACACAACTCTTCCTTACAAGCCACCGACAAACACAAACATTTCCAAAGAATTAGTAAGCCTAGTGTTGCCTAACTAATTTTGTTTTGATTTTTAAGAATTAGTAATAAATAAATAAAATCAATAGTTGGCTTAAAAAAATATCAATAATTAGCATTTGGCACTTAGCATGCAAATACGTTTATGAGGGCAACCCCGCAACGGTGTTTGAAAGCAGCCTGCTGACAAGAGTGTTCGTTAGCCAACCGTTTAATCCTTTTAGTAAACACACAAAAACAAAATGAATTTTACTAATCTCTCTTTTGTGTAATGGAATATTCACTGGTTAGGTGAGTTTTTCTAATAAAGATGATAATTATGGTATTGTTTATTTGAATTAAATATCTTATATATCAGAGAAAAAAAAATTATATACAGATTTTGCATTATGTAAGCATACTATATAGTATGTCATTACTATATAACATTACTTCAGTGTAAGCAATATCCAAACTGATGACAAAAAAAAAATATATATATCCAAACTTTGGGAAGATATATAAATACAAGTGTACACTTTTTTTTTTTTTTTTAAAACTCCTGGTATAATAACAGCATAGTTAAGTTGGTGTTTATTTATTTATTTATTCATCTGAAGTTATTATAAAATTAAATGATTGATTGAGACTATTGAGTTGGTTGCGCCAAAAATTCTCTGCTTTCCCCTATCATTCTCTAATCGGTCCACAGACCACAGTCCACACCTATTAATGACGATGATAAGTGAAAACTGAAAAGTGAAAAGGGTCTCATAATTGTTTAATTATCTAATCATCACTCTACCATAGTCACTCGTGATCAGTTTATAAACTTATAAGTAACGCATTGAAGATAGATCTATGGATTTTTGATATGCCACCAAATAATCAACTGTGTAGTTTCTTTTGTAATTGTAAAACGATCAACTGCTAATGAACAGACAAAATTGTAGTTAAAAGCGATACAAAGTAAGTAACGAGTACAGAGAGGAGTACAGAGAAGCAAAATGTCAATACCACAATTGGTAAAGACTCTTAGACAAAGCCTAGAAATTGCTTGTTGGAATGTCATTTAGGAGAAGATCATATAAAATGCTCTGGTCTTTGTTATAAAGAGATGTACGCTCTAGACCTAAAAACCTTTTAGTCATTCTAAGAAGAAGAAAAAGAGAGAACAGTATAAAAAAGAGTGAGTATTTTTTTTTATCGATTTTGTTATTGGTTACATTTCCGTACCGGTGCGATACAGAATTACCAAGCACATCCAATAAATGTTTGATGTTATAACCAAATTTGGTTTGGTTCGGTTCGGTTAAAATTTCTTAAATAGCCGACCACTTTTCATGTTGATATAGAGGCAGACTGGATCTTTGACCAATAGAGAAAATAAATGAGAGAAAGTGTAAATACAAAACACAGTAAAGAGAAGAGAAGTGAAGAAGAGTCCAAATGTACCAATCAGCTCGTGACTACCTTTTTCTTCTCCAGTCCCATCTTCGTCTCCGTCATCTTCACGGCACATCCTCCAAAAGCTCTTAGCCTTCTCTCTCTGTTACGCTTACTCAAGTCTTTAGTCTCCTTAACTCTCAAGCCTCTTCCTCTCCGCGTGGAAAAACGTTTCAAGCGGCTCCAACGGTTCAATTTCCGATTTGTTCTTTTCTTCTGGTAACGTTTTGATCTCAATCCTTGTAGCTCTAAAGCGATTTCTCCTAGTTTCGCTTCTTCTTTTTTTTTTAATTTATCGTAGAATGAATTAAGCCCGTCGACGAGGTTATTTTAGTTGATTATCGATTTGAATTTTTCTGGAGCGTTATTGTCTCCGTACATTATTCTCAGTTCTGCATCTAAATCTTGCACATAGTTAATCATTTCTTGAGATTTGTTATTATTATTCTCTACTCTACTTAGTTACAACGATTATGAGATTGTCACAATCTTTTATGGTACTCAATTGCGATAATGATTGATATATCACGGGTCTGAATTTTGATATTTTTGCGGTGTTGCGTAAAAATTATATTAAAATTGAAGTTTCTAGTAGTAAAAAAGTTCACAGAGAGGTCTTTTCTTTTTGTTTCTATCTATCTTAATGCTTTATACATAGAGAAAGAGATCATATATAATTCTATATGATTATTATATGTTTTTTGTATGGATAATATTCAAGATTACTGAAAACTGTTATGTTATGTTTTTTTTCTTTCAGATCTGTTCTAGAGAACTGCTTCTGGTTTCATCAATGAGCTTCCTTGGTCTGTGAGCCATATCCTAACAACTCTTACTATGGAGGAGAGGAAACTGAACTTCAACGTACCTCTTCTTTCAACAAGACGGATGCAGAAGACAGCAGCAGTCTCTGTGCGTAGAAACAAGAGTAATAACTTTATTGATTATGATTCTAAGACAAGTGAATGTCCTTCTGTTCCAGTTCTTGTTCCAGAGATGAGTTTAGATGATGAGGTTACTGAACCTGTCTCTGTTCCTTTCACTTGGGAGCAAGCTCCTGGGAGATTAAAGGGCAATGGTTTCAGACCCCAAGTCTGTGTTTTGACGCAAGAAAAAGAACAAGTCTTTATACCATGTCTTCCACCGGGGAAAGCCGTTGATGGAAACTTGACAAGACTGCAGAGTTCAAAGGGTAAACAAGTTGAAGAATCAGAGGATGGTGAAGATGATGTGTTTTCTGATGCTCTTGATACACTCTCTCCAAAGGACTCGTTTTCTTTTAACAACAGTATTAGTGGTGTGAGTGAATATGGTGGTGTTGAGACCAAGAAACCACTAGATGCTCAATCTCGGGATTTCATGATGAGTCGTTTTTTACCGGCTGCCAAGGCTATGACTGTGGAGCAACCTCATTATGCTTCGAATCGAAAACCATCCACTTTTATGGCTGAACCAATTATACAGATGAGAGAGTTAGTACCAGGGGAGAAGCAGCAAACTCCTAATAGGTATGATGAGTCTTATTACTACCATCAAAACATTGACGATGAAGAAGGCGGGGCGGATGATAAAGATGATGAAGTTTCTGAGTATGCCTATCTTTCAAAGAAAGGTTGTGGGATGTTGCCACAATTGTGCTTTAAAGACTCTCTTGGCATGCTTAATACTGTGTCTGGTTTTAAAGCCAAACACAACTCTCCAATAACATCCCCAAGTCACGATCAAGTGAAGTCAAGCAAGGTTGCTCAACTCAAATATCGATTCCAATCTGTAAAAAAGGTTACACCTTTAGACTCCTGACCTTGAACTCCTATTAGTCCCTTATGGATATGATTATCGACTCGCTGACTATTAGCTCTTGTACATTTTCTAGCTGGCTCTTGATTCAGTTTCTAAGCACAAGTTGAGTGGTAAAGTTCAATCGCCGGTTCATCCAAGCTTCGGGAACAAGTTCAACTCTGAATCAAACCTGATATCTGCTGCAAATAGGTCTTCATCTCCTTACAGACACACTCACTGTATGTCACCATTTCGCAATACAGGCAACAGTTCTCCTTTTCACCCTGCGGGTTTTCCTGAGACTCATAAGGAAACTGAGAACCTGAGAGCTAACAGGTTGAGCAAGCATACTAGAAACATAAGCAGGACGTCTCAGGAGTTACTCTACCCAAAAAGCAATGGTTCAACTAGCGCTCGCTTTGAGAAGACAGTATATGTCGACACCGAGAATTTTCCAATGAGCAATGATCAGCATAACTCAAACGTCATGGTCTATCCAGAGGAAGCAGACATGGCAAGGAAACCAGATGCAAATCCTGACCTTGAAGCTTTTGAAAATATAAGTATTAGAAGTGGTGAAATGGTGAAGGGAAATGAGTTAGTAGAGATCAGTAGTGGTCTTGATCAGTCTCTTCTTGCACCACCGTCGCCCAAAAGGCCTTCTGAATCTTGGCTTTGTCATAATCTACCTTCAGTAACTTCTCAGATCCCTTCACGTAGATATCATCCATTCAACCTCCAAAAGCAGGATCTTGCAGAAAACTACAGAAATGTTACCAAGTGGGAAACTATTGTTAAGACTTCATACATGCACAGAGATCATATCCGATATTCCGAAGTAAACATCTCTCATTTTCACATATAGAATGCTTAAGCAAGAATCAGCTAGACATCTTTGGTATTTACTTACTTCTATCTTTTGCAGGAACTGGTTGCACATACATCTCATCAATCCAAAACTTGAGACCTTGAAGCTTCTCGAAATCTGACCTCCCCGGGATCATCAGGTTTTATACACACGTTTCAGCTCGATTAGTAGTAGTCCAATATAGTCATTTCATTCACCGGTGTGACTGTTTTATGAACCTTATAAAATCTATACCCACAAGTATCTTAACTAATTCACATGTGCAGCTTCAATATTTTTGAGTTTACTTAATAGATGAGCCTGAGTTCTTGGTAAATGCTCTAACCGATTCAGATCAAAGGCGTCTCTTACAATGCAAAACTTATGTTCACATTGTGAATTTTCTTTTTACTAACTTGTTTCTGATGAAAAAATGTCACAAAGAACTCTAATTAGGCAAATATTAAAGCTTAGGGGTGAACAAAACAGTTAACTAAGGGAAGGCAGAGTAAGAATTTCCATTAAGCTCGTATCTTGTTTTACATATATATACATATGATTTAAGCAATCCACCAAAAAAACTGGCTCTATGACCAGCAAAAATTGACTAATTGCCTGATACCTCACTCATCTTCCTATCACTCACATTACAACAACACTTATATATATATACACACACACACTAGGAGATTACGGAGATCACAAAATCGACGCCAATCTTGAAGATCTCTGCAATCTCCCAGTTTTAGACCAACATCAACATAGACATAGAACAAGAATAACGAATAAATAATCAATCGTAACAAAAGAATGTAATACAGTCTTGTTGCTTGTATATTCTTGTTCTCAGCCTTCCTTGTTTTATACTATTCAGTATCAGATGGCAAATACAATGCTTCTTCTACTACAACTTCTTCGTGGATTAGTTTCTCCAGCTCCGGTCTGAGTTCCTTGTTGCAAAACTCTTCATACTCTTCTCTGTCTCCTCCTTTCTTCTTCACCTCCACCACTACTAGAGATGGAGTCAGCTCAAAGATCTCAGCCGCAATTGTCAATGGTCCTTTTGCTCCTTCTCTACAACCTTCTAATCTCAAACTCCATTCTTTCTTCCTCACTGTAAAGCTCACAACTTTCGCAATCTCTTCCAGCTTCGATATGATCTTTGAAACAGGAGAACCTGACACAAACCTTGTCCCTTCTCCTCCTTCTTCATCAAACAAACCAGACAGATCAAACCCGGAAGAGAAAGATATAATGTCAAACGCGTTTAGGCTTGCGGGTCTTGGCATTGACCCTATCCCCATCCGTTTTACATCGAACTCTGCATCGCTCTCTGAAACTGTCGAAGACCGGCCGGATGATGAGGCCTCTTCCTCCTCATCTTCATCTTCCCTACACAACTTATCGTCTTCGATGTAGAATTTAACATGTTTGAATCCTTTCTTGAACCATCTGTTCTTCATGATCTCGGGTATTGTAATCCGAGTATCCGGATTCGTATCAAGAAGCCGAGTCAATAACCGAACAAGATCCGATGAAAACCAACGAGGACACCTAAATTCCCCTTTGTAAATCTTCTTGTACATAACCATTATGTTCTTGTCGTAAAACGGAATGTGACCAGCCATCAACACGAATAAGATCACTCCACAAGACCAAACATCGGCTTTCGCTGCGTCGTATCCTTTTCGAGTCAAAACCTCGGGTGCAATATAGGCTGGAGTCCCGCAAAACGTGTGGCAGAGTCCGTCCTGCCGAAGCTGCTCTGCCACCGCGCTGAGACCAAAGTCAGAGACTTTAAGGTTCCCTTTGTCGTCTAGAAGTAGATTCTCCGGTTTGAGATCACGGTGGTAAACACCGCGTCCGTGGCAGAACGAAACAGAGGAAATCAGCTGCTGGAAATATCTCCGGGCGGTTTCCTCCGGCAATCTACCTTTAGCAACCGTGTTGAACAACTCACCGCCTCGAACGTACTCCATCACAAAGTAAATCTTCGTCTTCGTCGCCATAACCTCGAAAAGATGAACGATGTAAGGGTGACGGACACGGCGGAGGATGGAGATTTCCCTTTTGATGTGAGCAACCAATCCACTCTTCATGATCTTCTCCTTGTCTATGACTTTAATGGCAACTTTATCGCCGGATTTGATGTTTTGAGCTAAATAAACCTTTGCAAAGGTTCCGTGGCCGAGAAGCTTCCCTAGCTCGTACTTCCCCATGAGAATGTTGTTTCTTGGGCTCCTAGGACTCCTCGGACTTTGGGGGCTGATGTTACCATCTTTGTCTGTATCCATTATACCGATCCGGCCAAGAAGATCCGCCATGTATCGTAAAGCATACGGCTTTGGGTGCGGTGGTGGTGGCGGTGGCGGGTCTGGGACGACGGTGGTGACCACCGGTGGTGGTTGAGCCAAGGCTTGAGCCATCCGTGTCCAAAGAAAGAACTTTTGATTGGTTTGGGTTTTGTATTTGGGGTTTTGGTTGGTTTGTTTGTTTTTTTCCCTTTGAGAGTCTCCTTGTTTGGTTGGTTGGCCAAACGTGAAAACGACCAAAAAGCCAAAAGAAACAGAACGAAAATAAAATAGGGTTTGGTTGTTTTGGCCGGTTGTTGATGTTTGGCCTACCTAATTTTGTCTTGTTTTATAACGGTTTTGGTTTAACTTATTACATTGAAATGGTCTAATAGCCTTTATTGGAAAATTTAATATCATTTGACTTAAAAGTTATCATAAACCCGTCTTTTATTTTGCCAGCATATTTACACGTGTTCTAATGAATTATCATTATAGAAATTTAAGTGTTAACTAGCACGTTTAATATGGTTTTATTCTTAATATGAGTAATACTATAGCTATACAGTGAGAAGAATACAGATTTAGCAATCGTAAGAAAATTTTGTAATAAATTGAATGTTTGAATGTTTAGAATTGGAGAACATAAAAGAAATACAATCTTGATACTCATGATGAAAAATTGCTGAAAGTAGAAATATCATAGCGAAAATCCCAATTTATCATAGTACAATGCATGTTTTTAACAAATGAACATTCATTCAATTTGAAATGAACAATGGGCTCTGGGATTTTCGCTATGATATTTTTACTTTCAGCAATTTATCCAGTGCCAGATAATAGACAGAACTTATCAGTACCAAAAGGAATCTCATCGATCAGCAGATCATAGATTCATAAGAAGTTGCATATACGACACTGTCACGCTTTACTGAGTTTGCACTTTTAAATTTTATTTCTTTCGTCATCACTTTTAAATAAAATGTATAACTCTTTTCTTGTGACGCTACCTATAATATATAACAATATGAATTAGAAATGTAATGAATGGTATTTGTGGGAACCAGGTGTTGCTGAGTTGGTGCTTACGTTAGTTCGTGGACTTCACATCGCCGACCAAATCCAAGTTCCATTTTTTTTCCTTACATAAATTCCAGTTCTTTCTAATAATATTATTTTCAAAGTTATATATCCAAATTTGGTTTTCTACTTTCTATATATTAGTCTTAGTTTATCATGTTTTCTATATGAAATTTTCTATTCTCTACACTAAAATTCAAATCACTAATAACATAACATATCTTGTCACATTAGTTTAGTTTTGATGAAATGTAAATTGATAATCATCTAGTAAACACTACTATCCTAGTAAGTGATATAAATAACCATCGACAATTTGCCACTAAAACTACCTTTTTCTTAACATATTAATTGTTATATTTTGGTGCATGTAGATGTTGATGTTATATAAAAATGACTAAGAAAACGATGTAATAACAACAAAAGAATATATGAATTTGAAACCGACGTGTGATTTCGACTACAAAACAAATATTATCGAGTAAAAGTAAAACTAAGTCTTGTTGAATAGCTTATTATATGGGTTGCTATCATTTGAATATCTCAAGGAAGTGCTAACTATTTAACCTATCCATAAGCACAAGGAAGAAACACATAAAAATAAAAAATAAACGACTCTTTACAATCTGTAAGAAAGGAAGAAATTATTTTCTAGGTGTGAATTACTGAGTATATATACTTTGAAATTAAATTTAATCGAATAGGCTTTTAATTAATTCTACGTGTGGCTTTTCATAGAAGCGACGGTGCTTATATAGGTGACACCACTGTTCATATTAATCTTTACTAGTCTTAGGTTATCATATATCCATTATATTATTGACTCACAACTTAAAAACTAGAGAAAATTGTATAAATAATCATTACAATATATTTTGCCCAAAAAAAAAAAAAAATCATTACAATATATAGGGCAATTTGCTTAAGAACTAGACAAATGCAAGATATGAATCAAATTGCAACCAATTGCAATGAAACAGTCAAAATTTAACATATTTCTTCAAATTAAAATAAGAAAAAAAACTTTAAAAGTAACGACATGAATTGTAAACAAATAATAATTTTTTCCTGTTTTATCACCTAGTTTAAGATGTTTTCTAACATTTGAAGATTAAAAAAATCCAAAAATTAAAGGCAATATCAAATAATATCTCCCATCGTTTCTAAATTTTGTTTTCGAAACCTTAACTATGGAAAGACAACCTTAACTATGGAAAGACAAATTTCAATCAAGTTCATCACCAAAATATGCCCACTAACACCATTTTAGGTATTCTTTTGCTTATTAGACGAACTATTATACTGAATTGACTGTTTGAGTTCCATAAAATTTAGAAGAAGAATATTTATGAAAAACAAAGTAATGTTGTCTCATTCTTCTTTGAATGTTTCCCCTTTTTGAAAGGTTTTTATTAATATAAAATCAGAGAGTTTGCCAAAAAACTAAAATAAATATTACTTAGTTTAGTTATTGATGCATGATTTGTATTTTATTTATTATAGAAAAAAAATTTATACAGATGGAGTCATTGCACATAACAGTTTTACTCCCTGTTCTAAAAATCCCCGCCTAGCCCCGATTACTCCCCGCTTAATCGTTAGGCCCACCCTATCCGCCTCGATTAATGACTAATCCCCTAAAAAATCAGTAACCCGATTATTCTCCGTCTAATCCGATTACTTTCCGCCTAATCTTATATACCCCGATTATTTTTTAGATTGCAAGTATAAAAAAACTTTTTATTTTTGTTATTCAATCATTTGAATGGAGAGTTTGTGATGTTTTACAATAACTTGTGTTCAAATTTTAATAAAAATCATAAATTTTTACAATATTGGATTAATATATTTTAAAAATATTAAAATAACCCTAAAACTAATCCCCGATTAATCCCCAATTTTAATCCGATTTTCCGATTAATCGCTAAGCCCATGCCGAGCGCCCGACTAGCCTAGCGATTTTTAAAACAAGGGTTTACTTATTGGGCCTTTAGTAATAATAAATAAACGATCCAATTTATAACGTATAGCGTTGTTTTGCAAATATAATAACGAAACTACGTCGTTTAAAGATATGACAACCCAACTGGGTTCGGATTCGGTGGATCTAAGCTCGGGTTGCAATTCGATTCGGAATCAAACATTTTTTGAAGAACCCTAAAAGTTCTCTTCTTCCCCCAAATTTGTATCTTGTTCTTCCAATCGGATTCGAATTCCGAAAGTCATAGTCTCGAATCTTCCTCAACAGTTCCTTATGGCTCCGAAGAAATCTGAAGGAATCGCTTTACTATCGGTTTACAGTGACGAAGATGACGAAGAGATGGAAGACGCCGAGGAAGAGGAAGAAGAAGACGAGCAACAGAAGAATCAGGAAGAGAGTGAAAAACGAATTGAAGAAGATCAGTTAGAAGAAGCGAATTATATGGATGAAGAAGAGAGAGGAAGAGGAGGAGAAGATTCTAGAACGCCGAGGTTATTAGATGGTGGTGGAGCTTCTTCTAGTGCTCACGCGACGCCTCGGTCACTTGATAACGATGAATCGTCGAGTCGAATGATTGGTGAGTTTGGAGTTGCTGATGGTGAGAGAGGTGATGATGCTTCTGGGGAAAGTAGTGATACGTTATTGAATCAGTTTCTTCCGCCACGACCGAGAGAGAAGTGCTCGGAGGAGCTGCAAGTAAGTTTCGTGATGATGCTTCAATGTTAGTTTTCAAAATTTAGGTTGATTTTTCTTTTGGATTAGATTGAATAGTGTAGGCAAGAAGTAGAACTCTTTAGAGTATTGTTTGAGGTTTCTTAGTACGTCTGGTTGAAAATGGCAGTCTTCTAAGTATTTTTTTGGTTGTGTTTGTAGAGGAAGATAGATAAGTTTCTGAGCCTGAAAAAGATGGGGAAAAGTTTCAATTCAGAAGTGAGGAATAGGAAGGAATACAGAAATCCTGACTTCCTATTACATGCGGTGTCTTACCAAGACATTGACCAGATTGGTTCGTGTTTCAGTAAAGATGTATTTGATCCCTATGGATATGACCCGAGTGACTTCTGCGATGCAATAGGTAACTCCACCTTCTATTAGCTTCTTACTTTTTTGTTCTCTTTTATTGCAAGATTAATAAGAGCAAGCTGAATATATTTCTTCTGTTGTTCCTTTTCTTGATTACTCTTGTCTCAGTAAAGAAGCATTTCTTTGATATCTTTTTCCATGTTTTCAATACTATGTTCAGTAACATGCACTTACTTTATACTTGTAAGTATTTCACCATGGAAAATATGGATACTGGTTGCCAGTTATTCTGCGGTCTGCATATTTCATGATTTATAATGATCCTTCTTTATGTGTTATTTGCAGAAGTTGACATGAAGCATGAGAGGGAAAGGAAGGAACAAGAAAGCAAGAAGAATCAAAAGCTTGACTTTGTTTCTGCTGGTACTCAACCTGGGGCAGTTTTCGCTGCTCAAAAGCCTAACATCCCCATTCCAGGTGTGTAAAAACGAGTAGGTGTCAGTTTGGTTCCTTATATATCTCAGCTATATCTCTGCAAGTATGATGGATTTTTGGAATCTGACAATTTTTTCAGGTATTCCAGCTTTAGTTACTAGTGGTTTGCCTTCTGTACCAACCGAAATCGCTGCTCGTGATGGTAGACCGAACAAGAAATCCAAATGGGATAAGGTTTGTTATCAGATTCAAATATCTAGAATGAGACTATATGATAATTTTGGGATACTTGGTTCTTAGCTTATTTCATTTTATGTGTTTATGGTTAAATCAGGTTGATGGGGACGTAAAGAATCCTCCTCTAGCAGCTGGGACTCAGGATTCCCTATCCTCAATCCGGTCTAATGCAGCTCTTGTATCTGCTGCAAGTGCTGGTTCTGGATACTCGGCTTTTGCGTAAGTTGTATTTTTTGTTGTTTGATTTGGAATATAATAGAATCTTGAGCTACTCTTTAGTTAGATAAATCCGAGAAAATCACTTCATTGTTAATAAAAAGATGTGTTTTGTATTTGAACCTTACAGGCAACAACGGAGACGAGAGGTGGAAGGAAGAAGATCTTCCGAGAGGAAATTGGAGAGAAGAAGTTGAGACATAACCAGAACGAAGCTTTTGTATGTTGTGATTCTTGTAGCAAGAGTTTCAAAAGAGGTTCTAGTTCAATGTTTCATAACGGGTACAAACTTAAAAGTCAATGATATACAGTGCATTCATTCTTTTTTGTACCAACGGGAACATCAAAAAATTTCAGAGCAGACACTATTGTTGTACTTTCAAGGATCAAAATTTACACATACACTCAGGACATCTCGGCTGTCTATAAATGCTGCGTCCATAAGGCCTAGTACGAAGCTTTTGGCCTTCCTCTACCATTTTTCTCACGCGATCTTCAAAAATCTTCCACTTTATTGTTTCACTGTCTGATAAGATTGCTGCAAGCCTCTTCTTGTTAGGTCTCAAT